ACCTCTGCCCTTTGACCCAAGGGCATTCGTGGCAATGTGGTCGAGTGGTTAACGTGTCAAGCTCCCATTCTGCACTGTCACGATTCGACTCCTGCTGGGGGTGTTAATAAGGCCGATGCGAGGTCGAAACTGCAGTCCAATCCAGCCGGGATGAGAACTACTTTGGGGAAAGTAAGGCAATGTGAAATTCAATGGAAACGTCCACTCTACTCATATCATTGTGGGTAAATTCTACTATCAGTTCTTCATCACCTTAAACGAAATAGGGTGAATACATCTCATATTATATTCTCAGCTGATAGAGTTTTCACATTTTTTGCACATCTTGAGCTTGGACTCCATTATCATTGTGAGAAACTAGCTTCAATAAGGTTTATTCTTATCGTATCATAAATGGATTACTAATCGTAATTTGGATTGGAGTACATCGACTTTATTCGTTTCAACAATCAAAAGTTGACCCATTGTGCGTCGACAGCTTGGCATCAGAATGGACCAAACATTTTGACTTTGAAGGGTTTCTGGATTTCTCGTGAAACTCCGAATACACACATGGCTCTGAATAATGGAAAGCTTTGGATATGAAAACTGATATCTTGATAAGCGAAAAAGCATAGAGAACTTTAGATAACAAGACAAAATTCGATATGAACACCAAGATTTTGTAACTCTGTTTTGGTTGCAGTCTCATTTGGCTGGATAGAAGTGGTTTGACCGCGTTTTCGCAACCGATTCGTGTTGTCAGGAGGACCTAGTTGTACTCACCTTGTCAGAAATTCTCTGTCGTAGTTAGTTACGATAATTACCAGTGTAGGGCCGTGAAATATGTACATTCCCAGACGCTTCGCCATCCTCGTAGTCGACATCGTTAGTGATTCTTGCCATTCTTAGCATCAAGATACAAGCCTCTTTGACGAGTTTTAGCTTGGTGCTAAGACTGGCAAGACTCACTGACAAGGCCAACTACGATGTTCTCTAGACAACTGAGAATGTACCCAGCAACGATTTGACACACTAATACAGTAGAAGATTTCGAGCATGATGTATCCAACAAGGTCACCCCGGCAATACGGCTAAGTGCGGAGAGTTCTCATGAAAGCCGCTAAAAAAATATAAAAAAAAGGGCACACCGACCACATTTAATTAAGCAAGTAAAATATTGTGACAGTGAAGGCGTGATAGGAGGATATAGGAAATGTGAAGAGGCCAAGGCAGAAGGGGAGATACGATAACTGTTTAGCACGCGTTTGGTCAAAGGATCGGCTTCACTTGTCTCTTTGACGAGTAGCTGTATGGTGCTTAGGATGGCGATA